CCTGCACCCTCCTGGTGCCTCCCCCTTCCCTCACTGCCCTTGCCCCCTTTGCCCTCTTTTCCCCTGATGCCCACCCCCTTACCACTCTCTGCCCCCATTCCCCTCATGCCCCTCTGTGCCCTCACACATGACTTGCTCCATCCCCACCTTTCTCATGCCCACCCCTTCTTTCAAGCCTTCTCCCAGCACCTCCCCTTCCCCCCTCTAGCCCCCAATGCCCTTACCCTCGCCTCTTGCAGCATCACCCTGTCCCCCCTCCCACTGACACCTCCCCTCCTGCCCTTTTCCTCATTGTCTCCACTTGGCCCCCTTGCATTTGTCTCTCCTCCACCCTGTCTCTTTGTACCTTCTCCTTTCTTCCCCCTCCCCCTCCATACAAACCCCTTCCTCTCCCACCCCTTCTCCTATTTTCCCCCTCCCCCTCCTCTCAAGCCCCTTCCTCTCCTTACCTTACCTCTGCCTTCCACTTTGTGGGGCCGGAGTCTGCGCTTGGGCCCCAGAAGTCCCCGGACTCCAAACTCAGATTTAGGCTGTGTGGCACAACTCAGTTTTAAAGTCCTGGGCTGTGATGTCACATCGTGCCCAGGCGTATCCCCACTTACCTGGGAACGTCGCACATGGCAGCAGCCGGCAATGGGGAGCTGGACTGAAAGCTGCACACGGCAGGGATGGGATGGGGATGGGGATGGGGATGGGGGAGGACTCGGGCCAGGGGAGAGACTCAGCTCCACATATTGATGGAGCAGGGCCCTCGGCTCTGAATATTGGAGCATGAGCACCACAAGCCCATATAACTCGCTGCCCATGCTTCTGGGTTCAGGGCACTGGGCTCCTTTAGGTGCAGGGTCCAATTCCAGGGAATTGGACGAATCAGCCTAAGGCCAGCCCTTATTATAGCTACAAGCTGTTCAACGTGATTCCCTGTTATAACCAACCTGTTGTTCAGTCATGGGCTGCCTTTTGGCCAAGCACTGGGCCATTTTAGTGACTGTTGAGTTATCATGTGCAGTGAAGGAAAATAGAGCTGTGTGCTCTTTGCACATTGTTGACACTTCTGTCTGTGTTGTCTTATCAATTCTTAGTGGCTGCTGCATGCCCAGGATGCATAGGTTGAGAAAGAAAATTCATCTTTGTGGGACTGCACAAATAATGGGTCTGGAGGTGAAGACATTCAGAGCATTTCTTTCAAATATCGTGTTCAACGCTTTATTTCTTTGTCAAAATAGACGTCCAAACTCTCCAGCCAGCGAACAACGTTGCTGAATGTGTGCATGAAGCTGGATTTCACCAGTTATGATGTAAACTTCAAAGAAATGTGCAAAAAGATTCAGCAGCAGTCCCATTAAAATCTGAGTATAATGTTTCATTTATGCTATTATTAATCATATAGTCAATTATCAGTCATATTAAGTTGTATGTTTTCTGTCATGCAGATGAGCATTCTTATACTGTGCTTTGTTGACCACTTGTTCTGAATTTTGATGTAGTTTGGCTCTTTGATTTGAAAAAGTTGCCGACTGTTCCTTTAAGCAGACCTGAAGCAGGTTCAACCTTCAGTGACCTGTTGCCTCCCTAAATGGCCCCCCCAGCCTTTAAGCCAGGTTCCAAAATACAGACATTCCAGTCCTCAGGTTAGGCAGAGGTTCTGTTACACTATCGTCAAATATATACTCACTAGCAGTTATTTCCCACCAGTTACAGAATTCTCTGTCCTGCTCACCTAATTCATTTATTTGTCTGTTTCTCTCATGCAAACACATATACATGCCACATCCACCACACTTTACATTTCCTATGGATTGGAATTAAGCCATAGTCTTATTTCTGTCAGCTATGTTGTTTATGTGAAAATGTTAATTTTGTCAAGTATGATATGACTTGAAGGGCACTTTAATTTACAGACTATTCTGCCTTTGTATTACAAGAATACATACATGCCAGAAACAGAAAATAGCAAGTCTAAACACTGGATAGTAAAACATACAGGAGATTATGCAGATGAAGAAGAACTAATTTTAATTTTATTTTAAATGTTCAGTTTTGACTGTGGCTTTCAGTTAATATTTCTTTTGCGTTCATAAGTTCAAGTCCATTGCATCTTTTTGAAAGAAGGTCAGATTCTCAGTAGGATTTTTTTTAACTCCACAATGAATTTAGAAAGACTAGTAATTCCCCATTATCAGTGCAGTTATTTCAGAATTAATGGCTTTTAGACCCTAATCCTTTACTTATTCATGTGTTTAACTTCACACACATGAGTAACTGAGTTCAATGGAGCTATTAACACGGGTAAAGTTAAGCTTGAGTGTGTCAGAAGGACTGACCTTTCCTATATTGTCACCACCCTTATATAGCTTTTGCTCAGTGCTTCAGTCTGCCTCATGTGCATACGGTAATTTTCAGCCCACCAGATTCCTGAAATGCTGGATGTTATATGAGGATAATTCTGATAAATTTCATCACTGAATAGCAGAAAGCAACCAGGAAGAAAACTGGGGGGAAAAAATAATGTTTCTTGTTAAGCATGAGTTATATATTGCTCAAAAGGACAGGACTCATTATTGAATCGTTGCAATCGTAAATAGCCATGATTAGGGTTGCCAGGTGTCCGGTTTTGAACTGGACAGCCTGGTATTTGAGCTTTCTGTACAGGAAACAAATTGAGAAAATACCGGACATATAAATGTCCGGTATTTTCTAATTAAGTAAGTTTTATTATTACCATGAGTATCAATACGTAGTTGCATATTGCTTGGCTGGTAAACACACTCACACTGCGTGAGCGTGTCTACCAGTCAGGCAGTACGCAACTACACAGTAGAGAGGAGGGGGTGGCGCTGGGGTGTTGCCGGGACGGGAAGGAATCCCTGGGGTTGGATTCGCCCATGTACCCCGCTGGGACCGTGCATGGGACGGGCAGCACCCTGGGATCTGCATGTGCCCAGGCCAGCTCCCCGGTTCCTCCTCCTCCTGCTCCCAGCCAGCCCTGCTTCCCGCCAGCCGGTCGTCCTTCCCCCCGCCTGCACCCTCCCCACCGCCAGACCCCTGCTCTGACGCCTGCACCCTCCCCACCGCCAGACCCCTGCTCTGACGCCTGCACCCTCCCCACCGCCAGCCCCCTGCTCTGACGCCTGCAACCTCCTCCCGGCCAGCCCCATTCCCATCCTGGCTGTTCTCCCCACCTTCCCCCGATCTGTGTCTGGTATTTTTTTGGAAGCATCTGGTAACCCTAGCCATGATCACTGTGATAAATCTCAAATTAACTCTTGTTGGGTTTGAGGGTTTTTTTTGGTCTTATCCTACCTTTCATGTATCTGGGTTATCAAAAATTGTAGCATTATTTTCTTAGCAGTTTTGGGATTTTTAAGGTTGGCCTGTCAGAATTAGGTTAAGTAAAAAAAAAGGAAAAACAAATTAGTTTGAAAATTTTAATATATACAGCTCAATAGTTCAGACAATGTGCGTTTTAAAGAATGAACTTGCCAAACCACTGACAACTGCATACAGAGAATTGAGGTGGTATCAGTGCATGAGATAACAAATGGGATAACAAACAAACGAAAAAAGAGTGATCCTGACACTGTGAATGCAACATTTTGATGAATGCCACAGTACACTCTAGGGTTAAATCCTAATTTGGTTTCAGTATAGGTTTGTTAATTTAAATTAAGATATGCCAGTTTATGCCAACTGAGATTCTGGCTCAAAATATTTTGACACAATGTAATATCTTTCTCTGATTGCCTGGGTATATTCTGCAGGCAGTAGCGGCTCTTTATAAATGAGTAGATATTCAAGGACCAGCTTTCCTTCTGATATGCACAATTTCTAAAAAGAATTGCTCCCCGCCCAACCAACAATAAAAATTTTCCAAGATTTAATTGCTTATCCCGACAGCTAAAGAGAATTTGTAGGATTTCTTTAATAACACTGTCATGTGACTCCCAACAATATTGCAATATGCCATAATAAATGTGAGGATTATTATCAGACAAAACAGTTACATGGGAGATTATTGCTAGAAAGCAGTAATACAGAAGATCTGATGACGACAGTTGACAGCAATGAGACATGAGCTTACAATGAAAAAATGTGAATGCAGCACAGGACTATGTTGTTGTATAAATACTATATTAAATACTCTATTTATTTAGAGCTTATTATTAATTTATTATTTTTGTATTACTGTAACATCTGGTAACCCTAATCCAGATCAAGGTCTCATTTTTGCCCCCATCCAAAATATTTTTCTATATTTAAGTCTATGAAAATATCTGTTCAAAAAGAAAAACATATGTGTATAGTGAGATCATGCCCTCACTTGCTCATGTCTCCCCCATGTGCAAATCACTCCTGTTGTGCAAAAGAGAAGATTTGTATCCTCTCCACACATTTCTGACTATATGAAGAACTTTTATCAGGAGGAGAGTACTGGGCCTGCATAAGCCAGGAGAGAGGAATGTTGGGGCAGTAATTAGGCTGTTACATTTTACTCTCCCTCCATCTCCAAGGACTGAGGAGATGAGAATGCAGTGGAATGATAGTATAGGTGCCAACTTCTTGCTAGGTGATGTATGACCCCCTCCACACTCTGTTCCAGACCCTGCCCTCACTCCACCCTCCCCCCAAATTCCTGCCCCTGCCCTGCTTCTTCCCACCCCTGCTTCACCCCACCCCCACCATCTCCTGTGTACAATATGAGCTAGATTACTAGGGGGCTGGGCAGCGGCAGAGCAGATAC